AGAAACTGAATGTGCTGGGTTAAGTATTGAGATTTGTTTTCTTTTTGTGTTTGTTTGTTTGTTGGCTTGTTTGTTTTAAGGTCTTTCTGCCTCTCCTGTAGTCTTAAAAGTAGCAATGAGCTTACCTTGATAATATTATAACCAGGAATTCCCCATGTGTGCATTTAGATGCCCAAATATATCTTTGAATCAGAGGTCAACAGGCATAAGACAGGTGAGGTGAGAGAAGGAGGATTGGAAAAGAATTGGTTTAATCAAAAGGGATGGGAAGTTGGTGAACAGTACAAGACCACATTGTCTGCTTCACTCAGCCTCCTGCACTGAAATCCCACTGATCTAGAATATCTGCTACTCATATGCAGAAAGAGGGTGCATGCCATCAATGGCATTTCCAAAAAAAGTTACTAGGATTATGAATGAGCTGTGTTGTGATTGCTACACACTGTAATTTTTTCAACTTCTCACAAATTTGATATCTATCAATTTTTTTCATCTAAAGATAGCAGTCAAGAAGCTTTTGAGAGTAACCTACACATGACAGTAACCCACACTGCAGTGCCTAGCAGGGAGGGACCTTGGCTTTGAAAGACCTTCCACAGCTAAGATAAAAAAAGAGTTACAGCATATGCTAAAGTTGTTTTATGAGTAATTTTCCACTTTTTCATTGGGAATGTTTGACAGGGTTGTCCTATTGACACATGCTATGGAAAGCTTCAGGACTCTTTGAGGGTTAGTTAGGAAACAATTTTTCTCACCAGTAACCAGGTAGGAGCTGAAGCTCTTTAAGGAACCCCAGTCCATACATACTCCATAAGCTGATCACAAACAAAACCTGGACTCATTTTCCCACATGCAAAAGCAAGGGGTCGATACTGGGAAAGTGAGGGTAACACTGTAAGTGCTGCTCAGACTTTACTGGTTTATACACCAGCTGATCTCAGCACCTTGGCAGGACACAGCCTGCCTTGCTTTTCCTTCTGGAAAATCTGTGCTCCAGAAAATGCAAGTAGACCCTGTGCAGCATAAGCACTGTGGATCTGAAGTGCCTCTAAACCTATTTGTTTTTACCATATCCCATAGGCAGATTTGGGTGGCTTTGTGTGAGATTAGCTAGGTAGTTTAGGCTAGAGGGCAAGTTAATGCTCTGCCTCTCTTACCTACTTCTGAGGAGGTTTCCCATTTAAGTTTGCCAGTAAATCTGAGACACATCTCTGAGGAAAACATTTTCTCTGATTTTGATTGGAAGTTTTAAATCCAGTTCACAGGATTTCATCCAGGCTTCTCCCATGAAAATAAGAGAGGAATATTGCTTTCCTGTCTTTTTGAGACCACAATGAAGCATGGAGTAGGCCCATGTTCTACAGGCAAAGCTATGGTTAGCTCACGTTGCTCCAAACAACCTTTATCTTGTTTACATCTTCCTGCAGATTTGATTGAAGTCAGGAGAGACACATACAGTACATCAATGCAAAGTTTCTTCTGCATTACAAAAACAATTTAAAAGCAATCTCCATTCCTTGTAAGAGTAACTATGTTCACTTAAATTATAATGTTGCAGTATTCTTGTTAGACAATACATGATTAATAGTTTTGATAACAGGCTTAAAAATCTGTTCAATATAAGTCATGCCTTTTTACATTATTCTGACTGGAACCGTGTGCTGTGGTTCTAAGAAGTAATATGCTTATTTATTTTAACAGCCCATTTAATGAAACTTTAATGAAGAGTAGTCCTTATGGCAATCTTGGGCTTCGTGTGTGTGGGAGGAATATTGGATCAACGTCATCTGTAACATTTTTTGCTTGGGATTTTTATTGGTGTGTTAGTAGAAGGTCTGTGTTTGCCATCTACTTTTGTGGCAGTGCTACAAACTAAATGCAGTTTCTCAAGAGACAAGGACTTGCCAAATGTTGTCCTTGTCACAAAAGAGTCTACATGAGTGGCTACAACAGCAGACTAACCATAGCTGCAATGTCTTGGGAGCTTTTTTCCCTTCTGATGGGAGGCAGGCTGTGTTGGGTTTGAGAAGACTGTAGCAGCAAGAATGCAGGAGTAAGATGCTCTCTTGTGTGTGTGTATGTCTGTATGACAGCTCACCCTCCCTACTACACTCTCCCCAGTAATATATGAGAAGTGAATTTTTTCTCCTCTGATCTGGAAAAAGAATGAATCTGGAAATATTAGCACTTCTTTTTTTTTTTTTTTAACATTCCTTCTGGCCAGTCCTCCTTTATTAAATTAGCAAATTTATACCAAATGGGGAGCCCTGAAGTTGGCTAGGGATGTCCCTAAGATTACCACTGCCATTTTAAAGCTAAAAATAAAAAAAAAAAAGAGGATAAATCCCTTTTGTATAGCTCTGTAAGCAGCTCTGCTCGCTGGTTAGATTTACATATCAATGCGTTTCGATCTTTTTTCTTCTGAGCATTTCTGATTTAAGCCTGTTCTTAAGGGCATTTGTTAAACCATGCACTTAGGAGCTTGCAGATATTTCCTGGGCATTTAAAATTGTGACCAGTTATCAAGCTTTGTACAAAAGTCCTATGAGCATTTTCTGAGTAACAGTGTTTCTTTCCCCAGCCCCCATCCCCGTACACAGTGTCATGTTGTTTATTCCTTCCTTGTGATTTTATCCTTGTGTGAGTTAAACTTGTGGTAATATTTACTGAAATGTAGGAGGAAAATCTCTGAGTTTCGCTTGAGCCCTGCACGTTGGCCTTCAAGTTGGACCTCAAGAAAGGAGATTCCCATTGCAGCTCCAGCACTGAGGGAGCAGTGGAAGAGAGGGGTTGCATGGTTAGGGGAGTTGATGGAGAAGGTGGAAATGCTCTCATCCTCTGTCAGGAACAGAATAATCCCTGTGCTGGAGCACATCAGGGATCACTGGGCTGGGCATCAGGCTGTGAGGCTGAAGGTGGACAGTCCTTCTCCTTCCTGCGCTGTTCTTGGACTGGACTGTCTCCACAGTCCTTCTGCTGTACCACTGCTGAAGCACTTGGACACAGAATTTACCCCACTCTTCAATTTAACACACATGGTTTTTGCAGAAAAGAAAGAAAAGTGATGGAAGGTGTTAGGAAAATCTGTTTACTTACGGAAACTTGTCTGACTGAGCCTTGAGGAAAGGGAGGACACCTCAAATCAGCATCACTGTTTTCTACCTTGTACATACACACACACACACAAACATGTTCATGCTCATATGCACAGACCAGTTGTTACCAGTTCCAATAACTGCTCACAACACAATCCATGGTTACTAGACCACAGGGTCAAACTGGAAGGTGCTGTATGTTGCTGTGAGTATAAAGGTTTGCCTAGAAGAGCAAGTCAAGTTTTCCCAAAAAATGACAGATGTAGGGTCTAAAACTTAATTTTCTGAATTTGTGAGCTTCAGAAAATGAAGGTCTTCAAAGTCATATTAAGCCTTGACTCTCAAAAGCATGAAGTCAACTTTTTGCACTCTGTTATTGCTGCTACTACTATTATTAAAAGTAAAAACAGAGAAACATGTGAAAAATATAAGATCATTACTGCATTATGATCGGATAGTAAATGTAATTGTTTATTAGATAATGTTTATTAATATTACTTTAAATTATTAAACTGTCTCAAGAAGTCACTTACCACTAAGAATATCCATGAGTGTTTTTTTCAAATGCTTTTGTGAACTGATTTGGTAAAAAAGGAAATTGATTAGAACTTAAAGTAAGCACCATGGACGTCTTCAGGCTTTAGTAAGTTAAATATAGTGGAAGCACTTTTACTTAGGTAAAAGGAGCAATAGAAAAAAAACTTAGAATTAAGTATTTTCAAAGATTTTTTTCTCTTCTTCTATAATTTCTGTATTTTAAAGCTTCTTGCTTCTCTAGCTCCCTTTGTTTTAGTAGATGTGTTATAACGGTATGTGTATATATAAATATATATGCACAAACACTTTATCTATCTATCTATGTATCTATCTACCTATCTGTCTATATATCTATCTATGCATCTATCTATACTATATGCACATGATGTCCAAATGTAACACTTGGGAACAAATAAGCATGTATCCTGCCGACATGCTGCTGTAGCTTGAAGAGTTGGCCCTGACAGGAAAATTTGGCTATATAACAGTACTTCCCAATAGCATGCTTGACCAGATTTTTAAAGTTTAACCAGCAGAGTTCTTCACATGAACTTCCAGATTTTCTCATTATGCCCAGCTGATACCCAAGGCCGTTCTTAGAAGTTTATTAGCAGCTCTAATTCATATGGAGCTCTTAAGATATCTGCCTATACAAAATTTAGAAATTGTGTCACTTTGGACTATTACCCATATATTAGACTGTGCCAATAAAATAGTCCCTACTGCTACTTCTTTACTAAAACACAATTGTATCACATAAGTAATAGAATACAGCAGAGAAAATCACATAAATTAGTCCTGAAAATATAATGTTTGTAATATTTCTCCCCTGTCTTGCCAGGGCTTGACCTGCAAAAATACTTTTTCACTTCAAATAAGAGAGCTTCCCTAATAACCAATTCTGTGGTTGTCACAGCTTTTATACACTGGGATCTGCAAAACTGTGCTGTTGCTTCCCAAACCCTGGCACTGGGGACACAATCTGCCCAAGTGTTCTGTAATGGGTATATAGACATGTGCTTATCAGCTCCTGCCAGGGTAGGCAGATCTCAAGAACTTTAGATAGGGAGTCACTGAAGCCTAGACTGAGTGCCAGTGCTGAAGTGTGGGCTTACCAGCTAAGTGGCTATCTTTGGAGTTCTCCATGGTGAGAACCAGCCATTGGATGGAAGATTGTAAATGCTGATGAATTTTGATGCTAGTTGTCTGGGAGCTGCTGTGTCTGAGGCTGGCTGGTGGCTCTGCAGACCCTGCTGTGCCATGTTGTCTTCACAAGTCCTTCTGGGAGCTGTCTAGAGGAGGGGTAGTCAAACCTATTGCACTGTATTTGGATGAAAAAAAAAAATAAAGGAAACTGGATAAATAAACTTCTTAAAATTACTTTTTTCTTATTTCAGTAGCTGGGCACCCTTGAGAAGGTATATTGAAATAATAAATTAAGATCCTGTTCACAAATCTGTGATCCCTTTAGAGATGCAGATCTTTTTCCATAAGCGATGATGTTTTCCAAACACTTCTAAATAATTCATAACCAGGATCCAGAATGTAGAAGACTTTTAACTACAGAATGTCAAGTCACTTTTCTTATTCATCTTGATCATATTCTTAAGTTCTTTCTGGGAATGTTCCAGGGTTTTGTTTTTCTGAAGCTGCTTGTTTGAGAGAGTTCAGACAATTTTTGACCCTGTTAACATTCCTCTATATATCACTGTATATTCTCTCACTGTTAGGCAAACTGAAAAATTAGGAAATTCAATTCTGCTAAATTGGGTCCCTAGAACCACTCCATCTCTCCTTATTTTATTCCTACAGAACCATCAGAACATGCTCTGTTAGTGTGATGTCAGCTAATCCTTCTCTCCCAGTACAATATTTTCTAAGCATGTCAGCTCTCAGTAGGAACAGGAGGGCATGGCAAATCTGTGTGCAGTTTGGGCATTCTAGCTGCAATCTGTCTCACCTAGGGGTGGGGGCTCATCTCTCCCAGCTTTACTGCTAACACTCTGAACAGTGTTGATGGTAAAAGCCCACCTTGTCCTTCTCTGCCACAGGAGCAGTGGTTGCTAGTATGACTAGGTTGATAGAATTTTTAAAATTAAGGAACACATAGGAATCACTTGCTAGAGGATGTAAAGGCTGAAACATGACAAGGAAATGGGGAGTTTTGGCTGAGGAACGTATGATATACTAGTGTGAATTATATTGATTTGTATTGTATTAGTTAAGGACTCTATATGTAAACAATAATTTAGTGTAGCCTTGAAATTCTAGCAGATTCAAAACCAACTTTCTGGTTTGGTAGGTATTATTCAAGGGCATTTTAAAAGATCAACCATCTTTATCTTTCACTGATAAGGCTGTTCTGAGTTAGCTCTGATATTTGAAATTGCTTCACAGGAGTTGTTACTGCCTTCTCCTGCTTGGACTTAGCTACTGCTTCCCTTTGATGGTTTTTCTACATTCCAGATCTGGGCAAACATAAGCAGAGTGAAAGATTTGCCCTCCTGTTCCTTAGCAGACTTCCATATGCCCTCCTTCAGGGCAGGCTTTGGGCTGGAGTTTCAGTCCCACGGCTCCAGATTTATCCCTAATCACTGTCTTCTCTGCCCTTCATCCTACTTCATGTGGTACAAGGAAGAAATATGCTGCAGTCAGGAATCCAACACAGATTCTGCTGACAAGTTTTCATCAGAAAACGACTCTTCAAAGACATCCCATAATCACCTGGGACATGTCGGTGGCTCTTGCTTGCTGGACAGAATTGTTCTTAATTTCTGAGAGGGTTAAGTACTTGAAAAAATGGAACAAAACAATGTGTGCCTGGAGACGTGAAAATCTAGTGATTTTTGTGTTTGTCCATAAAATACTTATGTCTGCTGGAAAGAAGCTTGCTTGTGCAAATGTGTTAAGCTGAACACAAAACAATGAGCATACACGACAGAAGAAAATGCATTTTAAGGTAAAAAAAAAAAGTAATTTTCACAGTTCTATTATTCTTTGAATTATTTGTCTCCTTTCTGTGCTTCTCCATATTGCCATATAAGCTTCTGAAATTGAAAAATTATTACTCTTCACTTTGTAGAGAATCTCAGTCTTCGTTCCTACTCAGCATCAGCTGCAAGCTTCCTAATGCTCGGCTTCTATATTCCCCAAATTTTCCAAGCATTTTCACAGTTTCCATACAGATGAGCCTGGGTAGTCTTTCATTTTTGCTCTTCCACGTCCATGTGAGCTGCAGAACAGCCTTCATCTTGCAGACCCCTGTGCCGTATCTGAAAAGGCAGCAGTGTTTGTAGTTTGAGATGGCAAAAACAGTCACATTTTCAGTTCTAACCTCTGTATTTAGGATTTCTTCAAACTTTTGTGTCTTTAGGTGGCTTTTCTCCCATGTGTTCTTTGTCTCCAAAAGTGAGAGAAAATAATAAAAAAGAAATTGCATGAAATGTATATACTGCTGAAATTTATAACATGGTGTAACATAGCTTTATGGACTGCTAATGGTTTGAAAATGCATTAATGTTAATGTGGTTGATATCTGGAGAGCATTTATTTATCTATATTTTTTAATCTATATATATCTGGGTGCGTACCAGCACACAGAAAAGGCACTGTATCTGAGCTCTGATGTCTATTTAATCATAAATATCCAGGACCTGCCATTCTTTGAGCACTTGCAGTTAGTATAGCATAAACCTCACTATATGTTCTTCTGTCAATCCACAAAATCTAGAAACATTTTCATTATCTCTTTGCTTAAAATCAGAAAAATTAATAAAAAATTAATAAAAAACTGTAGAATCCCTTAATTTAGAGAATTTATTTCCAGCAATGTTAAAAATGTCATAACATACCTGGATTTTCTGTTCCTGTAAGGTTATGGTTACTGATGTATTGAACTCTATCTTATTGTGCAAGTTTCACATAATGACATAAAGAATGCTTTAAAGAAGAACAGTTATTTGTTAGGATTTCTAAACACTCTTTGTAAGAAAGAAAAGCTGATTATTGAAACCAAAAAAGTGAAATTGTACGTTTTGTTAAATTACCCAAATACAAAACCCCCTTGAATAAATTTATTTAAAAACCTTGTTGTGAACATTTTCTTTTATCTGAAAATACTTCTCTTTCTTTCCTTTTCTCACTTTCTTCCTATTTCTCTTTGATTTGCCTTTTTTCCTCTGTCTCTTCATCTTTGTCTATTGCTCTCATTCTTTCTCTCTTTTCTCATTCCCTTTCAAAAGAATATTTTTTTACAACTCTACTAGATTCTGGGCTCTGAAATATACATTAAACATTTTTTCTTGATCCAGGCTAAGATCTCTTCTATTTTTCTTTTTTTTTTTTCCTTTTTTTTTTTTTTTTTTTTTTTTTTTTTTTTTTTTTTTTTTTTTTTTTTTTTTTTTTTTCTTTTTTTTTTCTTTTGAGATTTTGAACGTGTTAGAGAAAACAATGAGTATACTCTTCCTAGTAATTTAATTCAGTTACTCACTCTTGAAATAATTTTTTTGCTGTCCTCCACCAGCTGATGAAAAGGCTATTTATTAATTTACATTCCTTTATGCCTATGTTAGTGATGATGTCTTTTTTCAAGATAACACTAGTGCTAACATCCCAGTCATACAAATACTTCTTTGCCTATCCTAGTGCTGTTTCTTCTCGGGTGTTTGCCACAGCTGTCATACCTTCCCTCTGACTACATTTTGCTGAGCTGACAAATCAGGTTCTTGTGATCAGCTCATGGCTGGAGGTTACTCACCCTCTTTGCTGTCTTGGCAGCCCTTTGCCTGACCATGACTGATCATACTGTACATAATCCCAGTGTAGGCTTGCCTACACCTGGGGTTATAACACAAAGTAATTTCCTCTAATAGCATCCCAATGGCTCTTTCCCCCCCCCCCCCCCCCCCCCAGGGGAATACCACACATCTGGCATACAGATACCATGTAACAAAACAATATTCTAAATCCTACTCCTCCTACTGCCACCAACCACTAGTAGTCTTAATTTACAACATGGAACAGTTTCATTAATTCCAGAGTGTGATCTCCCACATTCTCAAGTGACATTAAATCCTGTTTCTATAATTCCCGGTCTTTAAAGTCATTATATTTTTTTTACTCACATAGTATTCAAAAGTTCTGCATTTTTCACAAAAAAGGAAAAGTGTTTCTGGGATATCTCTGCTATTATAATGTGTTTATTCTTTTAAACCAGAACTAATGCTCTATTTTGTGTGTATATAATATTAAAAAGGCCCAGGATGTATTTAATTGACTGCCTGAAGTGTATAGGGTGAACACTGACTGTGGTCATGTGTGAGTAATTTGAACTTTCAGATCACGGGGGCTCAACAGTCCCAGAGTGTCTGTCCTGTCCTGATGGGGTGCTGAGCACGTGGGGGCTCTCCTCTTATCCCAGTGTGGAGCTGTGGGGCTGAAGCATGGCTGGGAATGCAGCGTGTGCTGCAGCACATCTTAAATCCAGACCTCATGCAGGGAAGGATGGGATTGCTTTCCAAAAGTGTATTGCATCCTGTGATCTTCAACACTTCATTGTGTGTGCTTAAACCTGGCTCCTGGTCTAGGAGTACATCTTACAAAAACTTAACCTTGCTAAAATAAAGCTTGCTAACATATAAGTGCAGTAGATCTATCTGAATGGGCACGTATGTTGGTTTGATTTTATATTGACCATGATAAAATTAATGCTTCTTTTGTCTTGCCTGACAGATTTCTATGTATTTCTTAAATACTTGTGACTGATAGCTGGTGTCACCAGTTTGACTAAGGTGGGGAATCTGACATTTTAATTGTTTGAAATTGAGCAAAAGAATTGCAAAAATTAAAACCCACTGATTTTTTTGTTTCCTATTGGGGTTTTGGCGTTCCTTTCAAGGAAATTTTCTTCTGATTGGCTTTTAGAATCCTCTACAGAGAAGAGATGAGGAACTATAAAACTTTAAAATGGGTCAACATGTCACTAATTATTGCTTTAATTAGTGACAGCTACATAATTTCTTCATACTTTTGTTCAATTTAATAGAAGGCAGATATATCCCAATTTTTCTAGTTTGAAAGTAGTGCCTTTGATTTTTAATGGACTTTACCCAGCCTGTAAATTGCCTGGAAGTGCCCATAGGAAAAAATGTAAAGGTTGTACCTTTAGATTTGCTGTCACAGCTGCTCTTTTCATTTTATCCATAAATATTAGGAGACAACATAAATTTTCTAAGGAAGAACAAATAGCAAAAAGTTCTTAATTAGGTTTGAAAAACAGCAGTGTGAAGGTGAGAGGTTTTACAGGGACTCGTATATCCATTAAAAAAATGTTTTCTCAGTTGAATGTCTTATACCCTGGATGTAGAACAGTAAATCAAATCATAAATCACTAAATGGTCAAAAAATATTTTCAATTACTCTAATAGGCATAGTTTGTGAGACAGGAATGATGTATGGTATGAGTTTTAGGTTCAAAAAGGACTGCACGGTTATTTTATACAGATTGTGCAAAATGATATAGTGTTGAGCTGTGAAGTCTCTGTGAAGTCAGGAAGACCTACATGTGTTAGTCATTTCCATGTTCCAGGTACTGTAAAGATACTGCAGATAATTCTGTAATTCTTTCTTTAAATTGCTAAGCAAAGAATGTTATTGCCTGGCTCACTAGCTTCATTATCAGCTGCATTAAGATCAGTTAAAATACACACTAGTAAAATCCTGTGTACCGAGTATTTTATTTTTCACCTCCTTGTACAGAAAACTCAGGCAAAACCTGTTAATGATGGAGTTAAAAATCTTAGATTACGTTTTGAGGTACTTTTGTACAAGTATTAAGTGTCTATTTTAGTAAATATCATTTAACATGCATCCTGTCCTAATCTCTTAATGAACAGAATTGCTCTAATATGGCAAATTATAAACCAACCTTAGCATCGACAGTACATCTGTTAATTTAATAGTTTCCTGGTGCTAATTAAATTGTCCTTTGAAATTTACAATTTCAAATATTTTATACTAGCAGTGTATTTAAGATTTGGTATTTCTTTCCTGTTTTCTGATTGTGGGATTTCCCTAGTAAGATTTTCTTATGACTACTTCAGACACACAAATATTTAGTATTCAGTAGCGTGGTGCTTTTAATGCCCACCATGCTATTAAAGCAGTTCCAGATTAAGTGAAAATTAATTCACGTTAGACTGCAAATTACTGTCTCTATTATCTCACACCTGAGTTATTGTGGTAATTGATCAGTATCAGAGGAGCTAAGTAACACAAAAAGAAATGCAAGGAAGTTTGTGCAGAGTGTGAAAATGAGTCTTATGTCATACCTTTGCTGGCTGGCTCACGGACTCTCTCACCCCGTGGCAGTCACTGCCATGCACCAAGCCTTGAAGCACCAGGCAGGTCACTTTGCTTCTCTCTGGGACTGGGGAAGATCCTGCTGCTGGCACAGCTCTGCAGGATGGAGGCAGTGGGACAGTGCTTATTCTTCTGGAGGGCTTGCTTTGCTTATTGCCTCACTTACCTGTGCTTTACACCTTTTTTAGCCACCACCTTGAGTACAGGAGGACAAGTGAAACAAAATGAAGAGTTGGTATTTAATCTCCTTAATTCAAAAGATAATTAAAGGCTTTTAACTTTTTGAGATGCACTGTGTCTTAAACTGGACAATACTTTGACTGTGCTTCTTACTCTAATTTGTCCCTGAGCGACACTGGTGTCCCAGACTGCCTCAACAGCTGCAGTAAGCAGGTAGTAGCTCATTTCCCTTTATATTTTCATGCCACAGATGATACTCTAGCTCTGAATTTAAATGAGACAGATAGCCTTGATTCTCACCAGGAAGGTATGAAAACACTGCTTCTCACGATCTACATCGCAAAACACTTAGAATGAATGTGTGCGATTGATGTTTTGAAGATATTTTTTATTCGGGACGTTGCTCCGAGATGGTGGATACTCAAAGTTTTCCGGGTTCCGCAGGGGAGGCAGCGCTGTGCTGCGCCAGGATTGTGCTGGATTTGCGTTGTACCGGGATTGTGCTGGATTTGCACTTTGCCGGGATTGTGCTGGATTTACATCACGCCAGGGTTGTGCTGGATTTGCGCGGTGCCGGAATTGTGCTGGATTTGCGCTGTGCCGGAATTGTGCTGGATTTGCGCCGCTCCGGGATTGCGCTGGATTTGCGCTGCGCTAGGCGCGGCGCCGTGCGCGGCCGCCAGGGGGCGCGGCAGTGCCAGGGGCCGGGCGGGGGCGGCCGAGGAGGAGGAAGAGGAGGAAGGGGAAGAGGAGGAAGATGAGGAGGGGCAGAAGAAGGTGGCGGACAGTCCCGCTGCCCGCCCGGCCCCGCCTGGGGCAGCCCCGACAGCCCTGGGGACAGGCTTTTCCCCCGGGATTCCGCCTGGGAGTCGTTTGAAGAGGGAAGAAGGAAAAATATATTTAAAAAAAAAAAAAAAAAAGCAGCATGGGGGAGGGGGGAGGATATAGCTGTCTTCTGTCTCAAGGGGAGGCTGGCAGGCAGCGTTCACCACTCCTCTCTGTGGGGAGCTGTGACTGAGGTAGTCTCGGAAATGAGGCTACCCCCAAGAAAAATTGCTGAGACCAGGGTTTGCATTCCGTCTTCAGAGCAGGAAGGAAAGTGGTGAATATTAAATGTTGGTTTCTTTCAGATGCCGCCACCAGAACCTCAATGTGCCTACGACAGCAATATGACATCAGAATGGGAACTCACGTCTCTAGATGGCACAGTTTGTCACCTGGGTCTTCAGACTTTGATTCCATCCATTTTTTACGTGGTGCATCATCTTCATCACCACTGCTATTACTGTTACTGTAGTTTAGAAGGCAGAAAGGTTCCCTGTCTCTGGAAGCTTTCCACAAGAAAGCTCCAGCCATTCCAAAGTAAATTCCATTTCCTTTCAGGCATTACAAAATACCTTAAAAGCTACATTGAGGGATTAGTGGTGGAAAGTTCATTTAGGTATTTATGTTTCTTTTGCTACAAAACTATAGAATGTTTATAACAAGTCTTTAGCACTGGTATCCAAGAAAAAAAAATAAAAGTGAAATGTGGGGAAATAATGCCTCAGTGCAGGGGTGGTCAACTCATGTTTGTAATCCTGCAGACAGTTTAACTGAGTGCTTCAGGTCGCTCAGGACACAAGGAATTTAAAATACTTCCCTGCTCTCTACCTGTGTGAGAGTCAATCTCTGCTGTGCATCATCCCGGCTTGCACATGAGAAGGCAAAGATGGACTTTCCTCTCTTCTCTGCTTGGCTCCCCTGAGATCCTGTGATGTGCTAGGTCTTACAAAGGACATATAAGCAAGAAGCAGTGATGAACAGAAATTGTGACAATCTTACGCTACATAGAAAGCATGAAATGTGCATATACGTGTACAGGTAGAAGTGTATATGTGAATAGGCATCTCAGTAGAAGAAATGAGAGCAGCTCTGTGGCATAGCAGGAGCAGGCAAAAGACTCGGCCCCAACTCTGAGCAGAAGGGAAAGAATGGAGTAGCCCATGTGCTTCATCTGTCTGCTGGACAGCGCAAGGGTGACTACACGGGGATGAAGAGGCGACAGGCTGCTGAAAGGACAGGAATTCTCCCCTTTTATCCCTTTGCAGAGAAGGGTGATCAGTCCAATCTGCAATCCAGTTTTTGGTAAAAAAAGCCCCACTGCTGTCAGGCTGTCTGCTGAGACCAATCAGAAAGAGGACAAAGCTCTATGACCTTCAGGCAGAGAGTGTTGTTATTATAATGACAGTTCTTGTGGTTACTGCTGTTACTTAGTTGTTTTGTCTTATTTAGCCTTTGAGAACATCCCCTGCCCTGGCTGGCTCAGATGGATGAAGAGTAGAATTAGGCCGCGGCAGATGGCTGTGGACGGAGTTGGGGTAGGAGCGGGACAGAGCCCCCGCAGGACTTGCTTCCAACACGGCTGTTTCAGAGGGGGAGTGGGAGAGATTCGGCAGGAAGGATGCGCGGGGGAAGCCCTCTCGGGGACTGCGTCGGGGCAGCGGCTGTGCTGCGCATCGGCGGAGGCTCAGGCCGAGCCGCTCTCCTGCCGTTCCCGCACCCCTGCCATGCTCGCCGCTCACTCCCGTCGGGATGCTGGATTTTCTTCAGCCGGGGACGATCGCATCGCGAGGGCCACCCGGTGCCACCGGGGCGCGTCCGTCCGACTGGGGACGAGCGGTCTGGCGGCCCGCGGCGGGAGCGCGGTGCCTCCGCCAGCACCAGGGACAGCGCCGGCAGCGGCACTGCCGCTCCTTTGTTCCACCGCCGGCGAGGCCCCGCGGAACAAAGACTTCCGCCGCCGTCGGCGCGGGGACCCCGGCCTCTCCCCTCCCCGCCCCCGCGCCCTCCCCGCACCCGCCGGCTTGGCCCGGCCACGGCCGCCTCCTCCACCGGAGCCGCGTCCCCGGTGTGTCGGCCGCGCACGCCCCTGCCCCGGCGCACGTCGCACCGCCACCGCCGCCCTACCCCCGCGTCAGCTCCGCGCTCGCCGGCCGCTGCCTTGCGCCTCGCCCCGCCGCCCAGGCCAGCGCACAAAGCCCGCACGCCGCTCCGCCGCTGCCCGCCGGCACCGCTCTGCGCCGCTCTCCCCACACCGTGCCCATACGCTGCTCCCTCCTCCCCGCCTCTCCGTCGCAACCTCCGCACATTCCTCTTCGCTCATCCAAGCTGCTCCTCCGCACATGGCTCTGCTGCAGTGCCCCCGCGGCCCCTCGGGCACCCCCCGCCCCGTGCACCAACTCTGCACATGGCTCTGCCTCGCCGGCACAGACGCTGCTCCGCTGTCCCCGCGCACCGCGCCGCTGCCCCAAGGCTTCCAGAGGAGCCCCGCAAGAGGAGGAGCCACTACCGAGCGGGCACTCCTAGCTACCGGCTGAGCGATGCGCAAAGAACAATCCTCGCGATGATAATATTAGAAAATGTATTTATTTCCCATTAATCGACTTTACATTGTTCAGCCCAAGAAAGCGAGAGGTCGAGTCACCACTACTTTGAAAAAACACCGCGGCTACCGCACCGCTCCAGTAGCCCCCCACGGCCCCGTTACCTTCTGCTGACAGCTGCCCCCGCGGGCGCCCGTCCCGTGGCAGCGGCATCTCCTTTCCACTGGGCTGAGCCAATCAGTCCACCAGTCCTAGTTAGTCTCGGTTTCCGTAGGTGAGTATAGGTTGTCGAGCTCTTTATTGCTTTGTCTCTCATTTTCTTTCTTTCTTTCTTTCCTTTTTTTTTTAATTTTTTTTTTTTTTTTTTTTTTTTTTTTTTTTAAAGCTCATTGCAATTATTTTTGTTATTAACGTTATTGTTGTGGTATGCTCTAGAGAGATCTTTCATGAAGCTTTGAGGATCCGCTCTTGGCATTCACCGCGTGCCTTAATTGTATGACATTAAATCAAGGTCCGCTGTGAACACGGAGAGTCAGAGCCTTAGAGCGCTCTGTCTCGCTCTCTCTCTCTCTCTCTCTCTCTCTCTCTCTCAGCAGAACAGCAACTGATCCCCGAAAAAAAAAAAACAAACCCGGTAATTTCCCTCCGCCCTAGTCCCATTCTGGCCCGGGCTGCATATAAGTCATGCTCGAGTTTTCTAACTAGCCAGTCTGTTGTTTGCAGTGCTCAGAAAACTGTTAATTATGTATTTAATCGATTAAAAAAAAAGATAATATTAGCGCGTGCCTATTGCACAATTCCAGACGACTGCTTTAATTTCACCAGCGTCTTCGCGTGATTTTAAACACAGGAGTTGACTCTCCCTGCTTCGACGTCTGTCATTTGGCATCCCTGGCTGAGAGGAATGACCGTGTCTTTCCGGCTGTCTCGGTCCGCCTGGTTCTGCGGCTCCCCTGGAGCACGGGCGGGGGG